TAGCCATAATACATTTGTAATCTGTATTGTGTACGGGTATACCGCGTTAGTGCTGCCGATGTGCGTGCGCCTCATAGTCGTACACGTGATTCTTGTTTTGTGTTCAGTTCTCTTTGGGTGGTTTTCGTGTACAATATTTAAAAAATTGATACAGTTGCGTTCTTCATTGGATTTTACGTTGGAAAAAAGGTAAGTAAATACGTTAAAACAAGTTTCTGCGCGCTTTCTGCGTGATATGAGCGCGCGAACGCGATTCTTCGAAACTTTCGAACGAAATAGCTTAGACTTGAACTTGTCAATAAAAAATGATGTTGCAAAACAATATAAAGAAATTTTAATCTATTATGAAAAGATAAAATATAGCGTCATGAGAGAAGTATACGCCTACGTTCAAATAGATCTATATTTGTTTTGTCGGAATGTTTTCTTGGTTATTTTACATCCCACAGATAATCAGAAAACGAATATTTTAATCTACGATATGTCGTACAAGGATAACGACAAATCAAAATCAAGTTTTATTTGTTTATTTACATTGGGTTTAGTTGAGTTCGAGACAAGTGAATCGTAGTTTTGTTCAAGAATTTGTTGATTCTCTCTCTCTCTTTTTTTCACGTTTTTCTTTACATTTGATGTGACCTCTGAGTAATACAGTACAAATTTATATCATAATTCTTCAACTATGTATGTATATTGAATATTGTTTTGCACATATCATATAATTTAGAAGATTCAACTTCAACTTCTTACTATATCATTTATTATTCATATTTTTATTTCGTTTGAATATATTTATTCGAAGAAAGATTGGTTATACCAATAGAAGTGATATTGTCTTAAATATAATTGATGTTTCAAACGATATTTTTTTGCAATAAAATTCGATATTTATAAAAACATTTTGAAGATTAGTTCTTTCGCATTGATTCATATCAAATCATAAATATCTTATAAATATCTTGATAATCATATCATATCTTGCGTCACGTTCAATTTTACTTTTATCATTTCGACCAATGTAAGTACTTTCCGTTTATAGAATCTTTTTTAATTATTTTTTTCTTCAAATAAGTATTTAATCAAATCAAATTTTATATATAATTAAAAATTGATAAATAAATTTATTTCGAAAACGCAGAAATATATATAAGAATTATATATATATATGCTACAAAATTTATAACATGTTAGAATATTAAATATATTTTGTTAATTTATATTTGAATAATCTTTTACACTTTTGTATCATATATAAAACGATATAACTTATACATATACACATATAAGTATGTATACATGTATAAAACTTAGTTTTATGCCTTGAAATTAGTCACTTATAAAATTGTCTAATCGATCATTATTACCAACTTATCGAATTAAATAAATTTTTATTAATTTATATTTAATTGTAAAAATATTAACTTCAATTTGATAGTTCTGTTATTTTCAAATTCATTGAATATTTATCATAATATTTTAAATTCTGACAAACCATTTCTGTCGAGTCTGGATTAATTTTTCATACGATGTCTGTGTAATATATTTTGCTGGTAATGCGTGTAGGTAATATTTCTGTCGAACAGTATTTGGTATACATGCAGAAACGAAAGAAAAGAGCGGGAGAGAAGAGACAGAGAGATAGAAAGAGTGAGAGAAAGAGAAATAATGTGTGGCACAGTGTAAGTTAAACGCATACGAGGGGATGGCTAGCCTGGCAATTTAAAAAAGGAACGCGATGCCCTCGGTGTTGGTGGGTCGAATGGTTTTTGTACACTTTCTCGGATCTCGGGGAGTACAGCATGGCAACGCCGCGACCTACCATGTTTCTTCCCTCGTTTGTCTCTCGACTGTTTCGTCTCTCTACCAAAGACGCGACAAATATCAAAGGCAAGAAGACACCACGATGACAAAGCTCTGTGAATGTTCTGACATTACGTGAGGAATAGAAAGAAAGAAGGAGAGAAAGAGACGAAAAGAAAGAAAGCATGCGCGTGAAAAAGAGAGGCAAAGAAAACCGTTGATCGGTTTAGAGACAAGATGATTCCTATTTCGCCAAATATATTTTCTGCAAGAAAAGGTAGAAAAAAGAAGAATTTCCTTTTTGAAATAAATTTTTGTTAGTTTTTTTTAAATAATCGAGTCTATAATGAAGTATACTTTTAGTCAATTGCACGATATTTATTACGTTCTGAATTTCCAGATACAATCATTCGATAGTTTCGTACTTTCGATTCGATCAAATCAAATGAAGCAGTTCTTTTTACGTTCAAACTCAAAATGATTTCTATTTCGCCAAATATGTTTTCTGCAAAAAAAGGTAGAAAAAAAAAGAGTTTCCTCTTTGAAATAAATTTTTGTTACTTTTTTTTTAATAGAGTCTATAATCGTGAAGTATACTTCGAGATACAATCATTCGATAGTTTCGTATTTTCGATTCGATCAAATTAAATGAAGCAGTTCTTTTTACGTTCAAACTCAAGATGATTTCTATTTCGCCAAATATATTTTCTGCAAGAAAAGGTAGAAAAAAAAAGAATTTCCTCTTTGAAATAAATTTTTGTTACTTTTTTTTAATAGAGTCTATAATCGTGAAGTATACTTCTAGTCAATTGCATGAAATTTACTACATTCAATTCGAGATACGATCATTCGATAGTTTCGTACTTTCGATTATCGAATAAAGCAGTTCTTTTTACGTTCAAAATCGTAGTGCATCGGTGGTTTGTGACGTGAGTTAATTTTGTGAAACAATTTTTGAAATTGTGGATGAAAAAAGACATTACAAAGTTTTAATTAGATTGAAAGTCAAGCGCATAATGAGATTTTTCCCCATATGGATCCATCGTGGATGCTGAAGCTGACATACGGGTCTATACATGCCGTGACCTGGAGGAACGTCTGCCCGCATCTGGAAACCCAACGGCAGCTCCTCGAAAGATATTATATTGCTCTCTCGCCGGAGTTGAAACAATAGACACTTCAGCTTCTCGAAGGACAGTTTATATACGGTGTCTCATAAAAAAGATACGAAAATCATAATAGTTTTTCAACCGGATCTTTCATTCTTAGATGCACGTAAGAATTTTATGTTCATTTTTTTTGCCATTTTATCATCATCTAAATGGTTATAAAAATGGTTTTGTTTCTTAAAAACATAACAAAATTATTAACATAAAATAGAATATAAGAATTATAAATTATAAATAGAAAGATAATTTTTCTCATGAAAAACTGTTTCAAATAATATTTGAAATTGTTGATAGAGATAATACTATCTTCTTTTCTTCTTCTCGAATCTTACTCCAGTTCCATTTCATAGATAGAAAAATGTAAAAATTTTTGAGAAAGTTATAACTTAATAATTTCGAATGTATTAGCATTTAAGAATTTTTTTTCATTCTTTGTTCCAGTTAATATGTTTGTTAGAAAATTCGAATATACTTCAAAGTGAAACTTATATAACGTTTAATAGTTAATATCATTTCGATCAGCTTGTGGAATGAAATAAATCACTGATGTTAGGACTTTACCTCTCAGTATCGAATGATCTTTTGAAAACGCAGGTAGACATATCCGAATGGAAACATCCCTATGTTTGCACGGAAGTCGGTTGGACACTTTAAAAGCCGAAACCGATCACGATCCTTTTCTAAGGTTCACTGATGATGGTCAGGTACATATAATAGGGAACAAGAAATGAAAAGTATTCAGAATCTTCATAATTAGGGTGTTCTAAGGTATTTATTAGGGTTCTATTTTGTTTCAATTCTTTAATCTATTGAATAAATTGAATTGAATATAATACATTAATTTTAATATATTTTGATATAAATATATTTTTAGTAGAAATTTTTTTGATTATTTTTATTAGTTTTTTGTTTTTTTTCACTTGATCTTAATAACTTAATCATCATAAAAAAAATCTTATCTCTTATTATAAGATTGAAAGATAACTAGAGATTGTAACGTAATTTACACTTATATATTGTATATTATGTCAATTTCTTTGTCAACATTGCAATAATAAAAAATTGCAAACAAATGTTCATTCATCAATGTTGAAATTATTCTTTCAATTCTTGGTTTTTATTGTCGTGCAATAAAATGATTTTTCACAATTCGGCTAATCGATGCTAACGATAGTTTTTTTTATTTTCAGATGATTATTCCTAAATTAGTCAATCTCTCAAAATATACCAGCAATTTTTACGAAGATGCAGCTTATTCTCCCGTAACGATTCATTGAATTCTGTTTGAAATTTAATAATTCATTGGCTAATATGATTTTTCTTTCAAAAGTTAGTCTTTAAGATAAACCAGCCGACAAATTATATGTATCTTTTGTCGCTTCAGATCGATAGGCATTTATGAGATAAGAATTGCTATCAACTGGATCATTGAATAAGAATTGTAAGTATTGTTGATATCTTGTCGAAAACAAGAGAAAGAGGAGAATTTTGTTGATCGTTTTCGGAGAAATCCTTGAAATTATATCAGACGATGTTATCACAAATATTATCATCATTCGAATTCTCACGATAGAATCATTTTTAATTGGTATATTTTCTTTTTTGAGAAATCTTTCTATGCTCTCTACTTCTGATGTAAAATTCTCCCTTATTAAAAAGTTATTGGCACCTTGCAGAGGTTTAAAAAAAGCCGAATTTTGAGGCGCTTTATAACGTATAGCAGGAATATTTCGTATACAAAGAGCCGTGAGAGTCGATGGCGGTTCTCGAGCACTTTTCCACCTACCATCTGTCGTTTGGGCTTCCAGCCGGAGTAACTTGATCTTTGTAGAAACCAGGGTTCGAAAACCTCCTACGTATATATGCTAGTGTCTGTAGATTCTCGCATCCCCTTACATTTTTTAAAAAATTGCATTTCTCATTTGTATTTTGCTAAATTATTTTATCCTTGTTACTTTTTCCTTTTTATTTACATTCCATTTTCTTTCTTTAACTTTAATTCTTTTTTTGTCAGAATTCTTTGGATAAAGAGAGAAAATTATGGAGAATAATTGAGATAATTCTGTAAGGAAAAAAGCTCTAGAGTTATGCGTGACATCCGTTTAGATACGAGCAACAGGCACGATATTTCTTGCATTTTAGAGCAACAGAGGCGAATGGAAAAAGGAAGAATTGGTTGGAAGAGTAAGTACGTCATGTACAGGCGAATTTACTGTACAGGTTGCAAATAAAAAGGAATGATGATTTAGCATCTCCAAGCCGCGTTCAAGAGGCGCGTGCGAGCGTTCGTTGCGCAGGGAACGTCTGTTTTTAAGGCGAGTTGCGATCGCTATTAAGCGTTCAAAACGCGACTTATGCTTTCCACGTGCAGTCACTGCCTAAATATCGAATTTACTCACGGTGATTCGAACAAAACCTTTCTTTGCACGCCATCCTTTCTGTGCGAAGGAACGAACAAATTTATTAAGGGGCGAATTTGTATGCTATATAAGTTAATAAAAAAAAATTCATATCTTTTAGAATAAATGATAATTGTCGAATGAAGAAAAAATTTTAATAGATATAGATCGCAAAATTAATATTTTTTTTTCTTTTAGTAGATATTTATCTTTATTATATATAAATTTATTACTATATTTTTTATTGTTTCTTTTTTTTTTTTTACTGAAATAATATTTTTTTTTGCAGGCAAAATGGATATGGAATCCCTGTACGACTACGGGGAGGAGGAACAGGATTTCTACGAGGAGAGTCCTGGTACCAGGAAAGGTTACCCGATCGATCACAGATCCATCAAGGTCAGTGATACTCTCTGATCGTTCATTCAAGCGAGGCAAAGACGGAAGGAAGAACTATCGTCGCTAAATTTAATCGCACACGATCCACAGGTGACAATTACACCGATCTAATTCTGAAATTACGCGCAATTTCGAAATATAAGATGTTTAATCTCGACGAAAAATGTTTCTGTAGCCGCGTGATTGCACGGTGGCGTTATTTTCGGGCTTCTCTTTGATGTCGCCGCTCGCGCTGCCAGGCTTTTCTATTGTGTAATTGTCATCGACAATTCGACCTCGCGATCGTTTTCCTTTCGTTTTATTCCTAAGCTAAAATCGTTGAGTTCGCGTCAAAAGAAGAAAAAAAATTTACAAGAGATAATGGAATAATAAGAATTCAAAATCTTCCCGTTATATTTAATTACATGTCTAACTGTAACCGTAGCTGGCCTCGTGAAAGAGAAGTAAATTGTTCAAATATAACTAACGAAATATAACTATATGCTCCCAGTTGATATTGTGCAATGAATATGCTCGTTTCCAAACAATTATTCAGATATAAAAATATAATATCTTAACACGTTCATTTTATTCTAAAAAAAAAAAAAATATTAATAATAATAATTAAGTTGAACAATCATTTCGCGATCATTACGATATTTCACTTACAAAGAAAAAAAAAA